GTACATTTATACGGTTTATGTGCATGCAATTGCAGATGATGAAGAAAAGTTTTTCTATTATTCAAACCTTTAGAGCATTGTTTACAAACATAAAATTTTGCTACTGAGTGAATATCATTCACGTGTTCTAGTAAAGTATTTTCATTTACGAGTCCCTTTCGGCAGACTTTGCATCGATGTTTATCTATTGAATGATTTAATTGATAAGAATGGTATAAACATTTATCGTGAAAAGTCACATCACGCATAAAGCATCTATAAACTATTTTTTCTTTTTTAAAAATCTAAACTTTTTTAATTTACGACGTACAAAGCAGGAAGTGCTTTTCACACAAGTGTTACACAATTATTGACATTTGACCAAAGGCCAAATGTCAAAGTAATTGTTTAAATATTAATAGTTAAACAATTACTATTTGTAATTATAATTTTACTGTTACTATTTGTAATTATAATTTTAGGCTTCGGTATAAAAGGACGGGATCGCAGCGACGGTCCAGCGTTCTTGACGAACTGAAGATGAGCCGAGATAGGTTTAGCAAAGCTTCTACAAGTTCAGCAGAAGGACTGAACGTTAGTGGGCGTTTCGGTCGCGAAGCCGATCATTTTAATTTGCAAACGTTTTCGGACGTATCAGAGTAAGAATCGCAACACTTTGAAAAACTGTTTTCGTTCTCTTACAGGAAAGATTGTCCCGGCCGGAGGCCGTTGACAAACTGTTTGAGATACTGCGTCGAAGCGGGGTGATGGAGGCTTTCGAGTGCGGTAAGTATAATTTCGGCGCTAGTCGTTCGTCAGACGTCGGGCCAACGCACGGTAAACCTAACCTTCTGGTTTCCAGCTATACAGGAACTCGTATGGCCTAACGACGAGGCCGCCGACCCGATCACGTAAGTTGTCGTCGAATTTGTTTTGTCGTTAGACGAACGGTTCGCTAACAATGTAAAATTTCGTTTCTCTGCAGGGCCATGATCCGCAGCCTTGGTGGATATGAACCGGATTATGTAGCCGTGCTCAGAGCGGAACTGAAGTTAGAGAGGGAGAGGAACAGGGCCCTCCGGGCCACAGTAAGTACAAACACGGGCGGGCCGACACGACGCAAAAGGTTGCGTACGAGTTCGGCGGCACAATCCAAACAGTGCTTAATTCGGTTATTTTTTTCCGACAGGTGGACGACTACCAAAAGAAAGCTAAATTGCCGGAGTACGAGGACCGGCCGAGTACGTCCGGGGCCGTTATCGTGGTATTGTCGTCGGACGAATCCGACGATCGTGAGAAGCCGGCGAAGAAAAGGTACGAGCAAGAACGCTACAAACCGGTAGAAATGCACGAGTTTCGTTTCGAGCCGGAACTTATTATTCACGAACCGTTTCGTTCTTTTCAGGAGTAATACACCGGAAGAGGCCGCGGGAGGCAGCCGAAAACGTTGCAGAACATTTCCTTAGTAATAAACTGATTTAAGCAAGCTCTTGTGTCCGAATACAGCTTTTTATTACGTACGTTTATCCGATTACGGGGGTTCGGCAAATTCGCAATAATTCAAACGGATCTGTTTTCCGCAGTGCGCAGTAGTAGTTCGCGCGAAAACCGATCAGCGTCGCGACGATGACTGTTCGTACTCCCGACCGAATGAATAACCGGACAAAAAAGTTAACGTATAGCGTAGCTATGTATTTAATTCGGATTTGCTTTACCGCCGTTAACTGTTTTAAACGAGATTTAAAAAAACATTTGTAGTTAGTTGTATCGTGTCTTCGAAAGTTGCGCTCGCCGCGTTAAACTCGCGACATCGAACGACTTTTATATTACCATATCGATGTTAGTTCGTCGTCGATATATTCGAGTTAAACGTTACAATTGTTTAAAAGTGCGTCATTTCTTTTTCCGTATTGCAATAATTAGTAGCTTAATTGCATGTAGAAAAACCAACGGTGTAACTGGAAAGTAGCGGAATTTGCCGCTTGTCTCTCGGAACAGACAATTCCTGTTAATCCATCGAAAACGTTATTTTCGTTAGGTGTAAGTTTCGACTCGCGCCAACATAAGTAACGATTAAATGAGTGTTTCGGTCGAAACGCAATGAACGAACTTGTCGGAATGACGGCGGATAGGTGACCGCTGCATTCGGACCTGAAGCCGGAAAATTCGACATTTCGTTCGACGTTTAATTAAATAACGGGCGAAACACATAGCTGTTTTAAAACAATCGACGACCCCTATTTCAATAATGTATCTAACATCGTTTGTTTATTGGCGAGTGGGAAAGATATTGCAACGAAATATGTCGACTGGATTGACATTTCTGCCTTACGGTAAGTCGTATTTGGATCGTGACAAGGCATTCGTGACCTTATGATTTATAGAAGTATCCCGCAGGAAAAAAATTTACATTGTAACTGCAGTTCATTACAAATATATATGTAAAAAACGGTGACTTTTCGAAAAAGATTTTCGATAGCGAAAAGTTCATTTGTTGTTGTTGCCTACTACAGACCTCTAGCTGTGAAATGTTGCCTGTGTTTAGATCAATTGTGCTACTCACATTCTCCATTCTTACGGCGAATGAAGGGACACTGCTTGGGCGAGCTTCAAATAACCTTTTCAGCTGAGTATCTAATACTGTACAATCAACTGAAGATTTAAAGTAAGATTTCTGTTTTATATAGTAAAATAGAGACAACTGTTCTCTCCTGATAGATAGTGGAGGCTCATAAGCATCCACATACAAGCTTTGTACAGGAGAAGTTCGAAAAGCACCAGTGCACAAACGTAGTGCTTGATGGTGAATTGAATCCAGCATCCGAAGAGTAGATTCTCGCGCAGAGCCATAAACAATGCAACCGTAGTCCAGCTTAGAGCGGACAAGGGCCCTATAAATCCTGAGCATAGAAACTTTGTCTGCTCCCCAGGATGAGCAGCATAGTACCTTTAAAAGGTTTAAGGATTTTGAACATTACTCTTCAGGTTGCGCAAGTGTGGCAAAAATGTCAGTTTTGGGTAAAAATAAACACCCAAAAACTTAGCCTCATTAACCATTGGAATTTTATCGCCATTTAGGTAAATTTCTGGATCCAGGTGCAAACCACGCCTTCGGCAGAAGTGGATGCACGATGTCTTCGCTGCATTAAATGTAAACCCATTGGTCTTAGACCAATTATATATGTGATTTAGGGAAGTTTGAAGTTGTCTCTCAATGAAATTCATATTACTAGACTGACAGGAGATCTGAAAGTCATCCACATACAAAGAGTGTTTCACACTGGGAGAAAGACACTTAGCTATGCTGTTAATTTTAATTAGGAACAGAGTCACACTCAAAATAGAACCTTGAGGAACACCTTCTTCTTGTGTGAAGAGCCTAGATAAAGTGTTGCCCATCCTAACTTGGAATCTTCGATTCTGTAGGAAGTTTTTTATAAAAATTGGCAAATTACCCCGCAATCCAAATTGGTGTAGATCACGAAGTATCCCGTATCGCCAACAGCGATCATAGGCCTTCTCTATGTCAAAAAACACACACTAAGTGCTGTCTTCGAACAAACGCTTCGCGTATAGATGTTTCAAGGTTTACCAGGTTATCAGTGGTACTTTTGTTCCTACGGAAACCACTCTGATGTGGTGAAAAGTATTCCTTTTTCTCTAAGAGATACATTAGACGCCTGTTTACCATTCTCTCGAAAAGTTTACAGAGACAACTTGTCAGAGAAATTGGTCTGTAATTAGAGGGTTTCTTGTGATCTTTACCAGGTTTGGGAATGGGAATAATGATAGATAGCCTCCAAAAGTCAGGAAAAGTATGTTCTGTCCATATTCTGTTAAACAGATGCAAGAGATTAGAAAGGGAATTGTTTGACAGATTTTTAATCATGCTGTAGTGGATTTTATCCGGGCCTACAGCACAATTCCCCAAGCGAGAGATCGCCATATGTAGTTCTATGCTGGTGAATGGCACATTATATTCCTCATTAGATGAGGAGTGAAAGTTTAAGCATTGTTTTTCACTTCGAGCTTTATAAGCTTGGAAATTTCTTGAATACATGATATTGCTGAATGAAGAAAACGTTTCACCCAACGTATCAGCAATACCCTGTATATTGCTGATTATTGTGCCATTATTTTCCAGCATGGACAGAGAGTGGGAAGCATATTTTCCATTAATTTTATGGATTTTATCCCAGACTGCTTTTGAGCTAGTGGAAGATGTTATACTAGAGACACACTTCCTCCAAGAATCCCTTTGGCTTTGCCTTCTAATTCTTCTGGCATTTGCCTGCCTTTGCTTTTTCAAAAGCAACCAAATTTCTCGCAGTGGGGTATCTTCTGAAAATTCCCCATGCTTTCTTTTGGGCTTTAAACGCTGCCTCACAATTCTGGTTCCACCATAGTTTAGGATGTTTTGGATATCTAGTTGATGTCTTCCCCATTGTTTTTTCAGCTGCCTGAATAATACTGGAAGTGACAACTTCAACTGCATCATTGATATCAGCAGTATTGACCATTTCCTCAGTGATGTTAGCCAGAGTGGAAAATGAAAGCCAATCTGCCGTTTCCAGTTTCCAGCGTGGTGGACGAGCTGTTTCACAGCTTTCTCTGCCTCGATATTTTAGAAATATTGGGAAGTAATCACTAGAGAGTGGATCAGATCCAACCTCCCATGTAAATGCTGAAAACAGGTTTGGGCTTGCTAATGACAGATCAATGGCAGTGAACGTTCTTGTTGGGGCATGGAAGTATGTCACTTCTCCTGTATTAAATAAATATAGTTGCTGATTGCCTATGAATCTTTCAATGGCTCTGCCTCACCGGTTGATGTCCGGACTGCCCCACATTGGATTGTGGCCATTGAAATCACCAAGTAAAAGAAAAGGAGTTGGCAGCTGTTCAACTAAAGAATCCAATTCATCTTCGTTGACTCTGACATCTAGTGGCAAGTATATAGAACAAACCGTGACAGTCACACCAACAGAAATTCTGACTGCCACAGCTTGCAAATCAGTTGTTATTTGTACCGGCAAGGATGGAATACGATTTGAAACCACAATAGCCACACCGCCACTGGCACGATTGTGGCTATCATCATCCTTGCGGTAGAGATTGAATCCTTTTAATGTAATTCTCTCTCCAGGTTTCAGATGGGTTTCCTGGAGTGCTACGCAGAGAGATGATGTAGATGATGTCAAGTGTTTAATATCAGATAAGTTGTTGCGAAAACCACAACAGTTCCATTGGATTATTTTATAATCCATTATGTGTTTGAGGCAGCATTCTTTGTGAAGGTATCCCTCTTTAGTTTTACGGCTGATTTGCCTTTTAGAGGTGAAGTTGGTGGTGTCACCTCCTTATTAGTCTTCTCGTCAGAGAAGTCGGAGAACTCACTCATAGACTGAGCCTCTGATGTCTTGGATTTGGAGATGGCTGCTGTTAATTTTTGTTTGTTGAGCGGGTTCTTAGCAGCCTTCTTAGAACCCACGTTTCTTGTCATTACCCGTTTTTGGTAGGGGTGTTTTGGCTTTCTTCGTCTCTTTTTCTGATGTTTGGATAGTTGGGAGAATTAAACATTTCGCATGGCGGGTAAGAGATTCACTAGGAGAGACAGAAATATCTGTTTGAACCCCACATGTCTTTGTGGATTTCAAAACAGCAGCAAATGTTTTCTGTCTCAAAGGTGCAGTTGAAGTGACCATACGACGAGCCTCTGGGTAAGGTATGTTGTTGACTGTTTTCACCTTTGTATCTCCTTTTCTCTTTGCCATGCAGGGCATTTTCAGTAGTAAGAAGGATGGGCATCTTTGTAGTTAACACAGCATGGGGTACTGGTACACTCGGTACTCTCGTGACCTTCAGTCCCACACTGTGCACATATGCTCTTGCCACGGCAGGATATCTGTGAATGTCCAAACTGCTGGCATTTGAAACAACGCAGCAGATTTGAAACGTACGGACGAACAGGGCAGCGCAGATAACCTGCTGTAATAAAAGATGGCAATGTCGGATTGTTAAAGGTGAAAATTAAATGTTTGGTTGGTATTAATTTGCCATCCCGACGAATGGAGATACGTCGAACAGCAGTGACACCCTGGTCTGAAAGGTTCATCTGAATATCTGATACATCTTGAGACATCAGATCAAACTCAGATATCACACCACGTGATGAGTTCAAACTTCCATGTGGTGTGACTGTGACTTCGATGTCTCCCAATTTCTTTGCAGCTAAAAGTTTTGCCGACTGTTGAGGTGAGGCAGTTTCTACAAGTAGGTCTCCTGACCTCAATTTTTGGGTTTTTTTCAGGTGCCCAATCATTGATTCAAATAACTTCTGAATCAAAAAAGGGGAACATTTTGATAAAGGTTTTTCCCCAGTAGCATGCACTATTATGGAGGATGGCTGACTGGCAGTGTTTTCATTAATGTTTTCTGGTTTGTCTGTATTTTTTGAAGATTTATGATCCATAATTGAATAATATTTCAGCTCCTAGTGACCCCACCCACCATGGGGCCCAACAAGGGGATGCCGTCACATGGGAGACTCCCATAGACCGTCACACCAGGGTTTCCCAAAAGCTATACCCTCACAATGAAGTCAAGAAGAGCACATCTTGTCTGACATGTCTGCCCAGCATGCATTGATCGGTTGACTCCAAGCCGAGGTCAAGAATGACTGAACGACCAGCCGATTGACTCAAACGGAGCCTGATTTGAGCCTCCCGTTTATCCGAAGCAGGGGCCAAAGCAGTGTGTTGGGGACGTTATGTTGCCCCTCAACTACCAGGATCCTCCTTTCCGGCATACGGGACACCACGCACGGCAAACACGTGGGTGGGCGTTCAGATCACAGGGATGGTAAAGAAGAGTTACTAAACCATCTCTAGGAGGTCCCCTCACCACGGACAGAAACCCACGTCGAGGGGGGGTCAGCTCGGCGAGCTTGGAAGTTAGCAAGAAGTAAACACACCCTCTATACCTTGATGATAACCTCTCTTATCTTGTATACACAGGCAAAACATGGACTCAGTAATATATTCTCTGATTTCGATTACAACCAAAAGTAGTATTTTAGGTAAAGAATTACAACGTAACAAAAAAAGAAAGTATAAAGAATTGAGCCTTGCTCTTTCCAAAAAAATGAACAGAACAAAAAGACAGAAGACACAGTATTTTCATATTCTTTGAATGACTTTCAGGAGTCATTTTAGACTTTCAAGATATTCTACAGTAGTAAGTATTACTCAACAACCACATTAACACCGGGATGTGTTAAAAAATCGTACTCCGTATAGCCGACATTCAACAGAAGAAAAATTCCACTGCCCTCACCACTTACACCTCCAACCCCAATATCTCAGCAGCCTTTAATCAGGCGAAGCTAGTCCACACTATGTCACACATCGAACACCTTAAATAGCTAGAAGCCTTCACGGTTAATTGGTTGGTTAAGGTTTATTGGCGTAAGGGCCACATAAGCCAAGCTGTGCTATGCCAAATAGTATAATAATATACATAAATGAATATATATATATATATATATATTCATTTATGTATATATATAATAAATATAAATAAATAAATAAAATAATGAATAGCAAAACAAATAACGAAAATATATAACAATACACATGAAAAAATAAGACATATATATATATTAATAAATGAATAAGTAAATAATCAACAAGGTATATATAAATATAAGCTAAATAAATAATTAAATATGTTTATAAATATTATTCACTTTCAAAAAGTTCAATAATTTCTCAAAATTTGGCCTTTCGCCCAAAATCTCTCTCAAACTTGCATTTCCGAAATGCTGTCTATGACTTTGATCAAAAGCAACGCAGTTGTAAAGTCTGTGATTAACACTTACAGCACAGTTGCAGTACTGACATACTGGTTCGTCATCTCCTTCAAAACGTATTGATGAGTCAACCAAGTATGCCCAATTCTCAAACGACTAAAAATAACTTCATATCTCCTGTCATACTGTTTATTACATATCCAATTTTCTATCGTAGGTTTGATCTCATGTAGTTTATTGTAGATTTGTGCATTCCACATATTTTGCTATCTCTCTGCTAGTCGCTTTTAACGACTAGCTTCAAATCACCTCCTTCAATACGCATTGTATGCTGTGAAGGATTAGCTGACTTTGCAGCTGCGTCAGCTTCTTCATTCCCTCTTATATCAATGTGGCCTGGGACCAAACAAAATTTTATAGAGAAATTCCTTGCAAGAAGATGGCAAAACAGTTTACGAATTTTAGTCACTATAGAGTGGAAACTACTTTCACATGAGATCAAAGCCTGAAGTGCACTAACTGAGTCAGTGTAAATCACACAGAAAGAATGACCTTTCCTATATATATGCTTTAAGGCTAAATAAATAGCATGCAACTCCGCAGAAAAGATGGAAGAATTCAATGCAATTTGTTCTGCCACAATTTTATCCTGGCAAACGAAGGCTGAGCCAACGTAATCATCAGATTTAGATCCATCTGTGTATAAAAGAATTAAATTCCTGTCACGATGTTGAATTTCTGCGAAGTGCTGTCTGTAAACGTAGTCTAAAGTGATTTCCTTAGGAAATTGTTTAAGCTAAGGTAAACAGTTATCACAGCTGTTGACCAAGGTGATATACTATATGTCTCTAGCTGTAAAATGTTTGCTTCTGTTCAGATTATTCGTGCTGCTCACACTCTCCATTCTTATGGCGAATTTAGGGACACTTCTTCAACGAGCTTCAAATAATCGTTTCAGTTGAGTATATAATACTGTAGAATCAACTGAAGGTTTAGTAAAAGATTTTTGTTTTATATAATAAAAAAGAGACAACTGTTCTCTCCTGAGAGATAGCAAAGGCTCATAAGCATTCACATACAGACTTTGTACAGGAGAAGTTCAAAAAGCACCAGTGCACAAACGCAGTGCTTGATGGTGGATTGGATCCAGCATCCGAAGAGTAGATTCTCGTGCAGAGCCATAAACAATGCAACTGTAGTCCAGCTTAGAGCAGACAAGGGCCCTATAAATCTTGATCATAGAAACTGTCTGCTCCCCAGGATGAGCAGCATAGTACCTTTAAAAGGTTTAGAGATTTTAAACATCTACTCTTCATATTGTGCAAGTGTGGCAAGAATGTCAGTTTTTGTTCAAAAGAAACACCCAAAACTTAGCCTCACTCACCATTGGGATTTTATCCCCATTTAGGTGAATATCCTGATACAGGTGCAAACCATGCCTTCTACAAAAGTGGATGCACGAGGTCTTTACTGCATTAAATGTAAAGGCATTGGTCTTGGACCAATCGTATATGCGATTTAGGAAGGTTTGCAGTTGTGTCTATAAAATTCATGTTACTAGACTGGCAGGAGATTTGAAAGTCATCCACAAACAGTGTGTGTTTATCGCTGGGAGGAAGACAGTCAGCTATGCTGTTAATTTTAATTAGGAACAGAGTAACACACAAAAAACGTCCTTGAGGAACACCTTCTTGTGTGAAGAGCCTAGATATTGTGTTGCCCATCCTAACTTGGAATCTTCGATTCTGCAAGAAGTTTTTTATAAAAATTGGCATATTACCCCGCAATCCGAATTGGTACAGATTGCAGAATATTCCGTAACGCCAGCAGCGAATGTAGGCCTTCTCAATATCAAAGAATACAGACACTAAGTGCTGTTGTCTAACAAATGCTTCACATATGGATGTTTCAAGGTTTACTAAATTATCTGTGGTACTTCTGTTCCTACGAAATCCACTCTGATGTGCTAAGAAGCAGTTCTTTTCCTCTAGGAGAAACATCATACGTCTGTTTACCATTCTCTCGAAGAGTTTTCACAAACAACTTGTCAGAGAGATTGGTCTGTAATTAGAGAAATTCTTGCAGTCTTTACCGGGTTTTGCAATGAGGATAATTGATATCCTCCAAGAGTCAGGATGTTCTGTCCATATTCTGTTATACAGATTCAGAAGATTATTAAGGAAATTTCCAGACAGATTTTTAATCATGCTGTAGTGGATTTTATCCGGACCTACAGCACTATTTCCCGAACAAGAGATTGCTGTATACAGTTCTGCTCTGCTGAATGGCACATTATATTCATCATTAGATGAGGAACAAGAATTTAAATTTTGCTTTTCTTTTTGGGCTTTATAAGCTTGAAAATTCCTATTTAACATTACATTGCTGGATGAAAAAGAAAACGTTTCATTCAACATATCAGCAATACCCTGTATATCACTGATTATTGTGCCATTCTTTTCCAGCATGGACAGAGAGTGAAAAGTATATTTCCCATTGATTTTATGGATTTTATCCCAGACTGCTTTTGAGCTAGTGGAAGATGTTATGCTAGAAACATACTTCCTCCAAGAATCCCTTTGGCTTTGCCTTCTTATTCTTCTGACATTTTCCTTTCCTTTTCGAAAAGCAACTAAATTTTTAGCAGTGGGGTATCTTCTAAAAATTCCCCATGCTTTCTTTGGTGCTTTAAATGCTGCCTCGCAACTCTGATTCCACAATGGCTTCGGATGCTTTGGGTATCTTGTTGATGTCTTTCCCATTGTTTTTTCAGTTGCACGAATAATACTGGAAGTGACAACTTCAACTGCATCATTGATATCAGCAATATTCACCAGATCCTCAGTGACGTTGGCCATAGAAGAAAAAGCAGGCCCATCAGCTGTTTTCAATTTCCAGCATGGTGGACAAGCTGTTTTACAGTATTCTGTGCCTTGGTATTTTAGAAATATTGGGATGTGGTCACTAGAGAGTAGATTAGATCCATCCTCCCATATAAATGCAGAAAACAAGTTTAGACTTGCTAATGATAGATCAATTGCAGTGAATATCCTTGTTGGAGCATGAAAGTATGTCACTTCTCCAGTATTAAATAGATATAGTTGGTGATTACCTATTAATCTCTCAATGGCTCTGCCTCGGCAGTTGATGTCCGGGCTGCCCCACATTGGATTATGGCCATTGAAATCACCAAGTAAAAGGAACAGAGTTGGCAGCTGTTCAACTAATGCATCCAATTCATCCTCATTGACTCTGACATCTGGTGACAGTATATAGAACAAACTTTGACAGTTATTCCAATAGAAATTCTGACTGCCACAGCTTGCAAATCAGTTGTTATTTGTACCGGCAAGGATGGGATATGATTTGAAACTAGAGTAGCCACACCTCCACTGGCACGGTTGTGGCTATCATCATCATTGCGATAGAGATTGAAACCTTTTAAAGTAATTCTTTCTCCAGGTTTCAGATGGGTTTCCTGGAGTGCCACACAGAGATTGGATAGATGATGTCAAGTGTTTAACGTCAAAGAAGATGTTGCAAAAACCACGACAGTTCCATTGGATTATTTTGTAATCCATTATATGTTTGAGGCAATATTTTCAGCAAGGGTATCCCTCTTTAATTTCACAGGAGGTTTTTCTTTTGGAGGTGACATTGGTTCTGTCACCTCCTGATTAGTCTCTTATCAGAGATATCAGAGAACTTACTC